AAGTAGACCCTTCAGAGCCTAACTACACGGGGACAAGTGAGCTCCGTCGCTCGAAAGCGGGCAGAGCGGCCTTGGATCGAAGCTTCAGCCTCCTCTTCCCCAGCAGGTCCCTCGACTTCACTGTCGCCTCAAAGTGAGACACACGCACGCACAGAGAGAGAGAGAGAGAGAGAGAGAGAGAGAGAGAGAGAGAGAGAGAGAGAGAGAGAGAGAGAAAGAGAGAGAGAATGCGGCGAACAGGAAGAGAGAAGGCAGAGAGAGAGAAGAGATCATGGCAACAAAGTGAGGGAGGGAGACAGGGAGAGAGACAATGAGGGGCACACAGGAGAGAGGAAGTGTGTGTGTGACACGAGACAGAAAAGGCAGACAGAGAGAACGCGACATACGAGCAAGGAAGTTACGATGGACCTCTACTCTTCGTTTGAAAATTATTTCTCTTCCGCGTGTTGATTGAACCTCCCTCCCTCCCTCCCCCACTCTTGGTCGTCGTGCCTCGTTCCAATGCCCCGTGCCGCCGTTCCTAGGGACGAATGCGAACAAGTGGTGCTCGGCTTCCAGGCCCTGCTGGCTGCCCAACGAGGGTGATCCGTGTTTCGTAGATGTGTCTTTAATGAAAATTCTTGCACGGCGGCCCGCGGGTGGAGATGGGGGGTGTGGATGACCCGCCCCGCCGGTGGAGCGAGTGCGGGTTTCCTCGTGTGGCTTGTTTCGACGGTTGTTGGTTGCTCGTACAATACAAGTTGGTGCTTTTGTCCTTTCCTGGCGGGAGACGGGAGTAAAAGGCGCGTGGGCGCCAAGGGGCGCGCCTGCGGCAAAGGGGGGTTCCGTGCGCTTTCGGCAAGGGTGGGGGGGGTATCTCGTTGTCCGGAGGTGGAAGAGAGAACCGACTTTGAGGAGCGGCGTCACCCGAATGTTTGGGGAGGGGGGGTTCGCGACTTGTTGGAGTCGCCTGTAGCAAGGCAGGGCGGGATGGATGCGGCAGCAGATGTGTAAAGGAACAAGTTGGGGGGGAGGGGGGGGGTATCCCCAACGTAGGCATGTCAAATAAGATTTTGTTTCACCGAAAAAAACGTTGGTAGGTACGAGAGTTTTTTTCTTCCTTCCGCGCCATGTTTTTTTTTTTGTTGCTCTTCTTTTTTTTTTCGGGGTATCGCTATGCAATAGGGGGGATCAACATCCTCCCGAAACACACCGGGTCAAGTCTTCATTGTTCCTTTTGGTCACCTTGCACCCCGCAGTACATGCGTGAGTTGTGCGGTGAGCACCCTGCCTCCCTGCTGCTGTTTTTTATCTCGATGTGCGTTGATTGGAAATGATTATATCGCTCTCTCTCTCTCTCTCGTTCTCTCTTTTTCGTGGCAAATTGTTCCGTTCGTAGTTATTTTTGGGAAAAAACCCGATCACTCCCCCTCCTATGTTTTTGTAGCTGTACCCTACGATTGGATTAAGAGTAGCCGAGGGGCTGGAAATGCTGGCAGGTGTATGGTATGTGTTGTACCCGCGGGTCGTCGCAACCCTCCCTGCTGTGCTGATATTTCCGGCCGGTCTTGGAGCGGTAGAAATGCGCTATTATACCACGTCCATGCACCCCCTGCAACTGTGAGCTACAAGCTAATGGCAGGGTGGTGGGTGGGGGCGGAAAGCGTCGTACCCACAAGCGTAATGGGTGGGGGTCGTTGTTTGACGTTTCCATGTGCAGCCATGTTGCTCTATACCCCCCCCCCCCTCCCGATGTGTGGTCTATATGCGGTGGGTTTCGTAGTGTTGGTGTTCTTTGTGTGTTGTTATCGGTAGTACTGCTGCTATCACCACGTGATGTTGAGCGGCTCTATTTTTTGCCACTGCTTTGCCTGCTCTACCCTCAGTGCTGCGTTCGTCGCCATCTGTTCGGAGGCCGAGATATGAAAAGAAGATGTGTTCCCGTGCTTTTTTGTGTCTCCGGGGAATATTCGATTTGCGAAGCCGCCGCCACATATATTGGATGCGGGTGCATGAAGCAGGCCTTTGTGTGTGTCGTTCAACATGTGGGACCTCCAGCGAGTTTTTCGTGCCATCGACTGAAAATAGTCACATGTTGAATGTCGGAACATGGAGGTGAATTGTTTGCAAAGGGGCACAGTATCTGCGGATGCAAGGGGGGGCAGACTCACTCGCGCAACAGCAAAGGATGTGACAGCAGTAATTTTTTTCTGGGTCCCACACACACACATATTGTTGGAGCTTTTCATGTGTTTTGAATTGCGTTTCATGCTGGAAACAAGAGATCGATGATTTGTTGTGCAATGTGCTATGATCCCGATTTTTTTTTTAATTCATGCTTTTGAGGCTTCGTAATGTTCTTCTGCGGCGAGGGAAGTAGGGCATGCACTTGGAATACGAAAAATCGTTGGTTTGGTGCGGGAGCGTCTCACTCGCTCTTGTCGTTAGCCTGACAGCTTGAGGCCGCTACTTCACACAACCCATAGGTTGCGTAAGATATACCACACGCCCGTGAACCTATTTTCGAAGCCCGGTGTTACCACACGAGGAAGAATCGGAAGGCCCTCGACGACACGCTTCCAACGCCGCCATCTCCGTCAAAATGCTTTTTCTTCCTTGAAAAGTAATCGAGCTTCGACAGTCGGTCCACGGGGTTTGGTTGATATCCGTTGATATCCTGCGCCTACGCAACCTACGGGTACACTCACTCCCAGTTCTTGCCTGTCCTTGCACCGGCTGTCCCGCCTGGTTGGGCGAAGTGCTGTGTGCTAAGGATGACACGCATATATACCGTATATGACACAAGATAACACACCCCCTGGACCGATTTTCAAAGCTCGATTACTCCACGACGAAGAGGATGCATAAATGAAACAATACGTTTTCGAACAGCTCTCGACGAGATGGTTCCAACGCCGCCGTTTTCGGCGCTGTGACTCTTCCTGCTGTTGAGAAATCGAGCTTTGAAAATCGGTCAAGGGGGTGTGTTATCTTGTGTCATATACGGTATATATTTGCCTACACTGATTGCAATCAAGCTACACTGCAACCAAGCCTCTATCGTTTCTGAATGAAACCACGCGGACTACGGAGGACAGCTTTTGGGACACTCCTCTTCGTTCTTTGGATACAAAGGAAAATGTTGCGCCGTCCACTTGGGGCCACAGATGACTGTACATAGACCGCTTAATTCTCTTCGCCACGTCTCCGGATCGAGAGCTGATTGCCAGTTGATTTGTTCCTTGCGGGTGGTGTTGGCGTGCTTCCTCAGAATTCCCGTCTATCTATAATACATGGATTCCCATCCATCTATCATCTATCTACATGGATTCCCATCTATCTATATACCTTGTTCCGAGTAGAGGGCGGAGATAATCAACCGTCCATGTGTAGCCGATGCGATGCAATCTCGTGCACATGGCCTTCTTCGTGCAAGGTTGGTGTAAAAAGATCTTGACAATCTCGCGTTTTTTTTTGTTGTCCTCCTCATCACACTTGTTCCCTCCCACTGCTGAACCCTCCCTCTCTCAACGAAAAAGTCTCCGCCCAAGGGTGTTCAGGTGGCGGCGTCACTGATTCCCCCCCACAACTTAGGAGTTGTCTCTCCCGTCCAGTGTTGGCCCACGTGGATCCCCGGGTGGCATGTCAAAGCCGACACGTTGATGAAACCTTCCTCTAGAAACCAACCCTGTTGCTCAAAATCGAACGTGGGGCAGAGTGTCGGAAACATCCATCGAAGTATTTTACAAGGAGGCGTGTCACCGCGCAGCCTCATCGCCTCCATTGTAGCCAGAGGGCGGACACTTTTTCTTTTTTTACCCGGCCTCACCTTCGGCCGTACGCAATTTAATACCCCCTCCCCCTTTTTTCACCCACCACCCTTTTTTCACCCACCACGTTGACTCGACACGAGAGACCTCGGATCCCAAACATGCACGAACGCCGAGCCTTTATCACTCCCCGAATGCTGTCATCTTGCGCTGTACACCGAGCGGGGCGCGAATAAACGTTTCTCCACCTCTGTCGTATGCAAAGACAGCGGTAGCGCAGACACAAGCAGCAGTTTGTGTACCTCTCCCCGATCATCACAACAACCACCGCTGCAGCTGCTGCGGAATAGCAACCCCGGCGGCGTCGAAACACGGGGGATTGTTATTATTATATCTGGCCAAAACAAATCCACGCCCCATGACGCACTACATCATGAGCGTTCGCTGCTCCTCGATTCGGCCTGTAAAGCTCCCCCGACCGCCCACAACATGGACACCGCCACCCTGTGGAAACCTCACACTGGGGATCGATACGTCGGCCGTTTCTCTACGTCTGGCCCAAAACAATACAGAAGTATACATTTACCCGATCAAGTTCGTACAGTACACACACGTGAACGGTCAGCCGATCGGCCCGCTCATTGATCCGGTCACCCGTCCGCCCGTCCCATCAACCGGACTGCTGTTGCTCCGCGGTATTCTTAGTCTTCCGGGGCGAGGAGCGTTGATTTGACTACATACAATACGTTGTCAGCCTTCTTTGGTTGCGACAACCGCGCAGAACGGGTCACCTCTCCCGACCATGCCGAACATGTCGGCAAAGCCCTCGAAAAATCCGGCGCTGTCCCTGAGCGGTACGTGTGCACGAGCGGGGGGTGGGGGGCACACGAGCGTGCATGCTGATGTCGGCTTATTGTCATAAGACAGTCATAAGGCAGGGTACCCTGCTGATTATCAACACACGCCAGATGTGCGAGACATGTGGCGCATGTTCACATGGTGGACGCGTTGCACTACTGCTGTCGCCCTCCTCGAAATAAACGGCGTTGGCGTGCTGCCAAGTCGGATAGTCACGAAGAAGATCGTTGGCAAAACAAACCAAAAAAATACTTCGCACCGACCGCTTCGCGCTCTGAAACGGGGAACAGAGATAGTTCTTCGTTAGGCAGATGGAGACTAGGTCTGGATGGGTACCTTGGGCTTGAAACATCTATTTTTCTTATTTTTCTTGTGCAAAAATGGACTCGCAGCGAGAAAATTGTGTGCTACGAGGGCTGGCGAATCCTCGCGCTCTGGACCTAGGCAGGCGAATAAACAATTCTGCAACCCAACACATGGAATTAGTTTCTGTTCCGGGAAAGCAGAAGTCGATTCCCACCAACAAGACCGACGACGCAAGAAACATGGAAAAGAAAAGACAAAAAAGATCTGACGAAGCGTACGAAAAGAAAAAAAACTTGCGAAGCTAACGCAAAGAAAGAAAAAAACTTACGAAGCTCACGAAAAGAAAGAAGAAACTTACGAAGCTTCGCGCTCGACGACCTCCGGAGGTCCGAATCCACCCGCAGCATTGAAGTAATTAGACACGAGGCGTGCTCGCCCCTTGGCCGTCCGGTTGATCCAACCCTTGATGGCCTTCCGCATCCAATCACAAATAGAACCAGAACCAAAACCAGAACCAGACGAGCAAAATGACAAGAAGAGGGGGACACAGGAGAAAAATCGTGGCAAAAGAAACACGCAGAGAGGACAACAACTATGATTCCATCCAAGCCAAACACGGGCAGAGAATCCGTCCACACGGCTCGACTTCCACCGACGACGCGTTATCCGACGGAAGTATACTGCTGACAAGGGTAGCAAAATACTCGGGAGTCGAGTAATGCGAAAAACAAAAGCAAAAAACTCCGCTCGGAAAGAAAGAATGGATGGGTGAATATGACGCCGACTATTCTCGTTGGAAGCGATGGATTGTAGACACCGGCAAGTTATCTACGAAGCGCTCCTAGCGGGGACAACATCGAAGAGATTTCCTCGTGCATAGTCGGCTTCCGAAGCGGCACGCGATCCACCCCCTTAGTCCTTCAAAGTCGACACAGCTTTATTCAGTGATACATTTTCTCGATGGCCGGCCAATCGACCGTACTTGTTCCTCATCATGCATCTTCTCGATAAATGCCCAATTGACGTGTTGCGTCTTTAACAACAAGTAGAAAAAAGAGCACCAAAATACTTTGTTACGCCGCTTTTTCCCGAGGCAAAGGTTGTTGCTTGCTTTCTTACAAACACAAAGCTTCTTTCTTCCACATCAGATAAGAAGAGTGCAATGCATGTCCCCCCTCCTTGATACTTGTTGCTGCAATTCTACGGAGATTCGACTCTTGCCCCCCCCCCCCCCCCGACCCTTTCGGAGAACATTTCGGTCCAGAAAAAAAAAAAGGGCCCACCGCCCGGGCCTGTCTCCTCCCCGGAAACCCCCC